TGAATGCCAAAATCATAACTTCCTTATTCAAAATCTGAGATTTCATGAGATGAGTTCAAAAACATGGACCTGGGTACTCGTACTTGGAGATTTCATGAAAACAAACACAAAAACATGGATCTTGATACAAACTTTCAGATCAAAACATGGTTTTCCTTCAAGAATACAAGAACATCCTTTTCTCTTTCTAAAACCAAACTTTAAATCAATGCATAGCTCATGTATCATGGTAGATCATGCAGTGTGATCGGATCAATATAAAGAACAACAAGAGTAGATCAAGAATCAAACCTCAAAACACAGATCTAATGGCTTAAACTCTAAAGATCAAGCTTGGGATTTAGCTCTCTCACTCTAAACTTCTCTTTCTCTTCCTAGAGCTTCTCTCTCTACAATACAAAAGGTATGACAAAATGATATGGGTTCTCAGCTAGTACCTGACTTAACCCTCTGCTGGGACACGTGGCAGCGCCGGATCGGATCTCCTCAAAAAGGTGACAGAATGACAAGACAAGAGTATGACAAAGTGTGTATGACAAGTAAGGTGACAAGGACACTCTGACAAGGCAATGACCTCGGATCAAGACATAGGCTTCGGGCAAGAAGGTTTCGATGATCTCGGCTAGGAAGGATAACACTTGGCCTAGCTGTGCCACACCTCGGCCTAGATGTGCCACAGCTCGATCTAGGTCATACCAGTCCAGGAACAAGATCACTAGGTGCAAAGATCAAGGATGTTGGATGCCTAGATGATAACATCTCGGCCTAGATGACACACACCTCGGCCTAGGTGATGCACACCTCGGCCTAGATGATGACATCTCGGCCAATATGTCAAGGTTAAGGTGAAGGTCAACCAAAGTGGTTCCAAGATGGTCCTAGTTATAAGAGGTTCAAGGGTGACCTGGGTTTAACACACCAAGCGAAGAACAAAGCATACAAACAATACTCAGGCGAATCGCATAAGCACAAAACAAGACAAGGACCTTCACTTTAGGCAAAACAAGTCAAAATCTACAAATGCAAGCTTAACAAAACAAAATCATACGGATGCACATGAACATGGCTAAGACGGGGATGGGGGCCATTACAGACAAAGTGTTTCAACGTCTAAATCTTTGGCCAAACAAATTATAATTTATACTTTTAAACCGAGTGTCCTTAAAAAAAATCGTCACAAAAAAACATCAAATTTCAACTTTCAACCACAGTTTGAAAAACTTGTCACAAAAAAATGTCACTAATTGTAAGTTTTAGTGACAATTTATAAAAATCATAACAAAAAAGTCACTAATTGTAAATTCTTAATGGCATATATAAAAAAAATAGTCACAAAAAATTATTTTTAGTGACAATTGTTTTAGGACTTATTTTCAATAGGATTTAATGATAATTAAGTCCAACTATTAGGACCTATTAGTAATTTACTCAAAATAATATAACTGTATACAGAAACTCAGATGCAAGAAAATAATCAAAATCAGAGTCCTATTGAAATTCAAATTTGGGTAAAACACATCATACAAATATGCAAAGAAACGTTTCCACAGAAGAAATTAATTGATAATTGAAAAAAATACATAAATTGTATTACAGAAATAAACAAAGTCTATAAAAAAAAAAAAAAATTGTCTTAAAATTGTTGAAAAATATTTCTTCAATAATAATTAATTTAATAGAATAATAAATACAAAGATGAATAACTTACAAACTTTTAGCTAAATCAAAACTCAGGCCTCGTTTGGCAACTGAACTTTTTAGTCAAAAAGTCAAAAAGTTACTAAATTAGCCAAAAAGCCAACAACCCATATCAAAAAGTCAAAGATTCTCATTTCTCTTTACTTTTTGCACATCTTTTCGTAAAAATCTAAAAAATTATCTTAAACATACTAATTTTTTTTAGCTCATATTTTAGCCAAATAGCCAAAAAGTTACTAAATTAGCATGTTCCCAAACAAGGCCTCAAAACAGAATTTGTGATTGAGGCCATTGTATAGACACTGTGTCTTTAAGATAAAAATTCGTCCTCTCCAATGGCATTCAAAATCAATGGACATCAATCACCCTAAATAGTAGTACCACAACGTACTGTTTATACAAGGAACTAGATGATGCTTATGAACTCTCAAAAAACCTAAACACAAAATGTAAGATGATGAGCATAGGACAAAGGGATGAAAAAAAATTTGATATTGAAATTGGAATGGAGGACTACTTTATATAGGTAGCGAAGTGCCTCTTCTGGAATAGCAGAAAGTTGCGATAAACAATTGTGACCGAAGAGACGTGACTGGTTAGAGAAGACAGGTGACCGGAAAATTTGAATTCAAAATTTCAAAATTCAAATTTTTCCTGCAAAATATTATTTGAAAATTTTAATTAATTTTGGCTCAAAAAAATAAGTAATGTGTTGACCCAACTTGCACTCGAGCGCTGGCTGCACGTGTGTGTTTATTTGGGTTTAAACCACAATGGTCTATAATTTCTCTTATTACAAAACTTGGGTGTCCTTTGGGCCGGCCCAAAGTGTCCAACTTAGAGCTTATAAACAGATAGAAATCCTTCTATGTTTCCTATATGGGACAAGACATTTATGCTAACTAACAAGAACCCCTACAGACATATTCAGTGTTTATGAGGCTCACTTTGACATTACTTTCTCATTTACTCCGAAATGGTTTTGATCATCCAAGTATATAATCTTGTTCACCATACGGCAAGGAACATGTTACCACTCAGACCCACAAAAAATAATTTGAGTCTCACATAAATTAATGCTTAAATTTTCGAGAAAATTAATGATTATAAAACCATTTCTAACACTTATAAATATCAAATGAATGGTCTTTCTTTACTATTCAAACAATGGCAGACCTAGACGGTGGCTCAGGGGAGCCATGACCCTCTGAACTACAAAAATTTCAATTATGTATTCTTTGCTCTAGTAAGTTTGGATGAGCACCTTCATTGACCTTGAAAATCTCTTTAACATGGCTTAAATGAGCAAGATATATAAAGAAACCAAATTCATTGTCTATACCTAATGTGGGAAAACTTGTGAAGCACTAACCCAACTCAAGATTGCACGTATTGTTCAACAAACACAATTCTTCCTCCTCCTACCTTCAATCGCCATACAAGCTCAAATAATTCCAATTTGCAGTGGTATTTCTTTTATAGGTCATGCTAATGACTGCCCATTAGGCTGTCAAGGGGTGGAAAATGCCTAAAAAAAAGTTAGAATCACAGGGTTTTTTTACACATTTCAAAACACATTCATTTATTTTATACACTTTTCACACATTTTAATTCAATTTTGC